ATTTGATAAATAAACTTGATATGTATTTGATAGATAAACTCTTCCTTCTTATGTTACCTAACCCACTAGATCTTTTTACAATATCTTATGCAAGAAAATCAAGGGACACAGACAGCTAGAGGAAAATTTAAGAAAAAACAAAATAGTTCTCATTCTGTCTTCCATACAATTACAATAAAGTGTCTAGATTTGATCTTACTGAAGTTTCCTGATAATGAAAATGTTGGGTCATCTTTCCTGTCCTGCAGAATGAGATAGCCTCAGAAACAAACCTGCTGCTGATGTGTAGATCCAATTTTAAAATGGTTTCCCCTGAGAACTGCAACAAGACAAGGATGCCCACTTACATCTATTCAGCTTAGTACTGGAAGTCCTGGCCAGAGCAATCAGACAAGAGAAAGAAAGAAAGGACACTCAACCAGTAAAGAGGAAGTCAAACCATCACTGTTCACCAATGACATGATTGTATACCTAGAAAACCCTAAAGACCCATCCAATAAGCTCCTAGATCTGATAAAGGAATTCAATAAAGATTTAGGATACAAAATTAACATACCCAAATCAGTAGCACTGCTATACACCAACAACAAACCAAGAGAATCAAGAACTCAATCCGTTTTACAATAGCTGCAAGAATAAATAAATAAATAAATACATACATACATACATACATAAAATACTTAGGAATATACCCAACCAAGGAGTTGAAAGACCTCTACAATGAAAACTACAAAACACTGCTGAAAGAAATCACAGATGACACAAACAAATGGAAATACCTTTGCTCATGGATGGGTAGAATCGATATTGTGAAAATGACTATACTGCCAAAAGCAATCTACAGATTCAACACGACTCCCATAAAAATACCATCATCATTCTAAATAGAACTAGAAAAAAAAAAATCCTGAAATTCACATGGAACCAAAAAAGAGCCCACACAGCCAAAGCAATACTAAGCAAAAAGAACAAATCTGGAGGCGTCACATTACCCAACTTCATGCTATACTACAAGGGTATCGTTACCAATACAACATGGTACTGGTATAAAAATAGGAATGCAGACCAATGGAACAGAGCAGAGAAACCAGGTGTAAAGCCAAATACTTACAGCTAACTGATCTTTGACAAAGCATACAAAAACATAAAGTGGGGGAAGGACACCCTATTCAACAAAAGGTGCTTGGGATAATTGGCAAGCCACATGTAGAAGAATGAAACTGGATCCTCAACTCTCACTGTATACAAAGTCAACCCAAGATGCATCAAAGACTTAAATCTAAGATCTGAATCCATAAAAACCCTTCTAGGCATTAGCTTAGGCAAAGACTTCGTGATCAAGAACCCAAAAGCAAATGCAAAAAAAAAAAGCCCAAATAAATAAATGGAACCTAATTAAACTAAAAAGCTTCTGCACAGGCGAAGAAAAATCAGCAAACAGACAACCCATAGAGTGGGAGAAAATATTCACAAACTATGCATCCACCAAAGGACTAACATCCAGAATCTATAAGGAACTCAAACAAATCAGCAAGAAAAAAACAACCCTGTCAAAAAGTGGGCAAAGGACACGAATAGACAATTCTCAAAAGAAGATATACAAACGGCTGAACGTGTGAAAAAATGCTCATCATCACTAAACTATCAGAGAAATGCAAATTAAAACCACAGTAAGACACCGCTTTACTCCTGCAAGAATGGCCCTAAAAAATAAAAAAAATTAGATGTTGGCATGGATGTAGTGGAAAGGGAACACGTTTATACTGCTGGTGGGAATGTAAACTAGTACAACCATTATGGAAAACAGTATGGAGGTTCCTTAAAGAACTAAAAGTAGAACTACCATTGGATGCAGCAATTCCATTACTTGGTATCTACCCAAAGGAAAAGAAGTCATTATACAAAAAAGACACTTGTACATGCATGTTTATAGCAGCACAATTTGCAACTGCAAGACGTGGAACCAACCTAAAATGCCCACCAACCAAGGAGTGGATAAAGAAATGTGGTATACATACACCATGGAATACTACTCAGTCATAGAAAGAAACAAAATAATGGCATTTGTACAACCTGGATGGAGTTGGAGACCATTATTCTAAGTGAAGTAACACAGGAATGGAAAACCAAGCATCTTATGTTCTCATTTATAAGTGGGAGCTAAACTATGAGAATGCAAAGCATAAGAAGGATGCAATGGACTTTAGGGACTCAGGGAGGGGGGAAGGACTGGAGTGAAGTGAGGGATAAAAGAATACACATTGGGCATAGTGTACACTGCTTGGCTGATGGGTGCACCAAAATCTCAGAAATCACCACTAAATAACTTTTCCAAGTAATCAAAAACCACCTGTTCCTCAAAAACTATGGAAATAAAAAATTTAAAAATAAAATTAAATAAAATGGTTTCCCCTTTCTTGATGCTTGAGAAGGAAGAAATTCAATGAAACAGATTACCTTTCTTCGCTGCAGGAGGTGTGGGGAATAAGGGAAGAGGGCCACCAATGTAGTGTAAATGGCTTTCAAAATTTTACACCAATTCATGAAAAATTTCTCAAGAAAACATGGAATAAAAGGGAATTTCCTAAACATGATATAAAGGTTACATACTAAAATTCTACAGTTAACATTATACTTACCAATGAAAAAATATAATGCCATAAGTATTGGCACACGTAAGTACTTAACTTGGTCCCTGCTTGCCTAATAAGCCTCACCTCATACCACTCTCTCTGACCCTCTTGATTCCATTCTGCTTACCTTCTAGTTCTGTGTTTATTCCATGTATTGTTTCCTCTGCCTGCAATACTCCCCTTGCTGTCTACCCTTGTACTTAAACTTGTCTAGCTTACTCCTCTTTTTTCCCTTCAAGGGAAGCTAACATGGCACTTCTAGGAAGCCTTCCATGATCCCTCATACCAATTTTATATCTACTCATTATCTTACAGCATAGTTCATCTGTAAGTACTTGCGGTATAATAAAAATACATATATTTGGCCTTTGTCTTAGGTTTCCGGCATACAGCTCCTAAAACATGTGGAATCTCCTGAGTGATGAGTGTGTCTTTTGCAAGAGAATAAGATGACTGGTGACTGGAGACCCCTAGGTAGCTTCAGCATGGGAGCTGGGTGTCAGAAAGACCAAGCAATGGTTAGAGGTTTGGAACTTTCAGCCCCATCTCCCAACCTGTGCAGAGGGGAGAGGGGCTGGAGATTGAGCTCAATCATAAACGGCCAATAATTTAAACAGGCATGACTACATAATGAAACCTCCAAAAAAACCTGTTAATGGTGGGGTTGAGGAGTTTATGGGTTAGTGTAGATACTGATGTGCTAGGAAGGTGCTAGGCCCAGAAAGGGCATGGAATCTCTACCACTCCTCATCCCCCTCCCCAAACTTGCCCCATGCATCTCTTCCATTTGGCTCTTCCTCAGTCGCATCGTTTATAATAAATTGGTAAACGTAAATAAAGTGTTTCCTGAGTTCTGTGAGTCATCCTAGTGAATTATGGAACCCGAGAGGGGGTCATGGGGACCACTGAATTTGCAGCCAAGTCAGACAAAAGTAGGTAGCCTGAGTACTTTGTGACTGGCATCTAAAGTGAGGACTGTCTTACGGAACTGAACCCTTAAACTATGGAGTCTCTAACTCTAGGTAGTATTAGAATTGAACTGAATTGGAGTCAGAAAAAACTTGAGAGTACTTAGTTAAAAATCCTTTTATAATTTCATTGACTGTAAACTCTGCAAGACAAGACCATGTTTGCCTTGTCTACCATTGTATCCCCAGGCACCAGGCAAGAGCCTATCACACTGTTCAATACAAGCTTGAGGAAGGTATAAATGGAAAGGCTACCACTGGAGAGTAGAAATTCTACATTGTTATCTGGAGAGATGTTAGTCACGAGGTTTTCTCAGGCTTTGCTTCTAATACAATGCTGACGGCTGATGAAACAAAAAGAGAGGCCAGGTGTGGTGGCTCATGCCTGTAATCCCAGAACTTTGGGAGGCCGAGGCAGGTAGATCACGAGGTCAGGAAATCGAGACCATCCTGGCTAACACAGTGAAACCCTGTCTCTACTGAAAATACAAAAAGTTAGCAAGGCGTGGTGGCATGCACCTGTAGTCCCAGCTACTCAGGAGGCTGAGGCAGAATGGTGTGAACCCAGGAGGTGGAGCTTGCAATGAGCCGAGATCACACCATTGCACTCCAGCCTGGGCAACAGAGCGAGACTCCATCTCAAAAAAAAAAAAAAGACACAAAAAGAGAAAAGTAACAAGCCCAACTTTTCACTATGTGATGTGAGGGCCAACTATAGGATAGGGTAGCACAGAGGAAGGAACGGGAAGCCGAAAATATGATACTACTGCAAAGAGGAAGTATAGCTGAGTAGAGCACAATGATCAAGTCCCAGTCCCAGTAACTTCTCCACATTGAACCCCTTGTGTTGTCAAGCTCTGTTCTCCTGAAAACTATCAAGTGGTACAGTTCAAATTCTGCTCCACTGCCTGCTTTAAAAAAAGGCTGTAAAATACATAAAATTATCATCTAGTCCAGCAGACTCCAAAGGCAGTGAAAGAGCATATGTGCATATACCTTGTCCATCATCAGCCCTACTTAAAAGTCATAATTCTGCACTCTTATCATGTAGGTATTCATTGGTACTTGGAAGTATTCAGTCGTACTTGCTGGGCTGTTACTCTGTCAAAGGGTCTTAAAAACAGGCTCATGTGTGTACATCTCATCTGTCCAACTAGATCTTCAGCCTTTTAAAGGCAGAAAATGTCATCTGTTGCTCTCAAATTCATGTTTGTTCTGTACTGAGTAGAGAGGAGAGGCTCTTCAAATACTAAATAGGACTGAAAAGAACACTTCATGTACCCAATACCCATCAGGTAAATTTGTTGAGACCTATGGGAACCAAAGAAAATGAAAACCAGGCCCAAATGACATTGGTAAGAAAAGACCATCTCCATTTTGCCACGAAAACAAGTCTTACCTGTGATGGGGTTATCCTTCCCTTTTTAATTTCAGATGAATTTTCACTGAGTTTTCCTACTTTGTTACTTGAGCTGCATTTGTAGCATGTCCATCTTGTTTGGCCCTCAATTTCCATGGTGCATTCTTTGTTTTGAAGGCAGAATGAGTGATACAAATGGCCACAGCTGCAAAATGAAGGCAACGAATGTGTCCTTTTTATTATCACAAAATCCATAAAGATAAGCTTGTAAGTGTACTGAGAAGCAATAAAGATATCTAACAAGTAGAAAGGCACTGATGGCTGTACAGGGTAAGAAACAAGAAAGGGAATGTACTTGCTGCTGTCCTCTCTTTTTAAAAATCCACATTCATATATTTGTATACTTATGTTGTGAGTACAAACAAATCACTGTTCTCTGACTACAAACTACTCAAAGGATGAGTTGAACTTCTGTTCATTTACCAAACTATGAAATCGGATGGCATTTTCAGATAGTCTGAAAAAAATGCAACAGGGGGCTGGGCATGGTGGCTCACGCCTGTAATCCCAGCACTTTGGGAGGCTGAGGCGGGCAGATCGGCTGAGGTTAGGAGTGTGTGATCAGCCTGGACAACATGATGAAACCCCATCTCTACTAAAAATACAAAAAATTAGCCGGGTGTGGTGGCAGGTACCTATAATCCCAGCTAGTTGGGAGACTGAGGCAGAAGAATCGCTTGAACCCAGGAGGCAGACGTTGCAGTGAGCCAAGATCGTGCCACTGCACTCCAGCCTGGGTGACAAGAGCAAAACTCTGTCTCAAAAAAACAAAAAACAAAACAAAACAAAAAATTAGCCAGGTGTGGTGGCACACACCTGTAGTCCCAGCTACCTCAGGAGGCTGAGGCACGAGAATCGGTTGAACCCAGGAGGCAGAGGTTACAGTAAGCTGAGATTGCGTCACTGCGCTCCAGGCTGGCAGACAGAATGAGATTCCATCTCAAAAAGAAAAAAAAAATTTAAAAAAGGCAACTGGAAAAAATCGTAACTATTTAAGTAGCTTGAAAACAACATGAATGGTCTCATCACCAAATTCAAGGCAAGGGTTGTGATTTGATTAAACATTTACAAAAATGTCACTGCTGTAGTAAATCCTTACACTATTCATATAAAGAAATTCCCTATTGGTTACATTAAATGACCAAACCAGCCTCCCAGAAGTTGAGTACTGAGAATAATTCTCAGCCATCTACACTGTGTCTTCATTTCTCTAACCTAAAGTGTTCGACATTTCAGAAATCAATCCTTTTCTTTTCTATAGTCTTTATATTCTTTTTCTTTTTTCTTCCTATCTCTCTCTCTCTCTCTCTCTCTGTGTGTGTGTGTGTGTATATATATATATTAACTGATCTGTCTGCTTTCCCCCTTGATCTGTCTAGTCCTTTAACACAACAGTCAGAGTAATCCTTAAGACACAGGTCAGATCATGTCACCGCCCCAGTCCTCAAAATCATCCAATGGCTTCGCATCTCAGAGTAAAAGTCTCACTTTCATTATAAAAATGAGTTAGACTTGGGCCAGCTCCTACATGATTTGGCCTCTGCTCCTCTGAAGTCTCTTTCACTGTCCCCTTTCTTGGCTGCTCAGGTGCCGCTAGCCTCCTCACTCACTACTCCTCAAGAATGCCAAGGCTCTCCTGCCTCATGGTCTCTGCACTCGGCTCCTCTGCCTGGTGTACTCTCTTCTGAGGTTGCATGGCCACTTCCTTTACATCCCCTCAAATGTCATTTAAACAAGAAGGCTTTCCGGGCTACTCTATAAATTAGTAGCTCCCAACATTCCTTTTTCTCTATAGCATAGCTCGTTTTTATTCATGTAACTATTAATTATTTTTCTATTAATTAATTTTTAAGTTGTCTGTTCATAAGTCACCTTAGGTAAGCCTTTCCCTGACCAACCTATATAAAATATCTGCACCCCCCACCAAACATTCTGTATCTCCTTTAACATTTTTTCCCCCGTGGTAGTTATCAGTATCTGGCATTACACTTGTTGGCTTATGGTCTATCCCTGACACTACAATGTAAACTCCATGAGGGTAGATCCTTTGTTTCATCCATCCTGTATCCTATCCCCTTGAATAGCAGCTCACATATAGCAGGTGCTCAATAAATATTTCTCACCTGAATGGGCTCTTCGTGTGAAGAGAACTACTTCCTCTTCCAACCATCAAGTCTACCAATCTTCATGCAGAGCTAACAGATAGTGCTTACTCATGCCAGGCACTGTTACAAGTGCCTTATATAAATCATTTCATTCAATCCTCACAAAACCCTAGGAGGTAGGTACTATTATCCTATTTACAGATGAGGAAACTAAAATATAAAGAAGTTAAATAACTTGCCCAAGGTCTCACAGCTGGCATGTAGCAGAGTCAATATCTGAACTCAGGAAGTTTGGCTCCATGGCCATATTTTTACCTCTATCCCTACATTCTAGATGAGCTGTCTTTGCTCCTGAGACCAACACCTTCATTCTGCACTAGGGTTCTTCTCTCTTTGCAATGTAGCTTAAATATCATATGCTGACAACTTATAAATTAAAATTTTCCAGTCTCAACACATCTCCAGATTTCTGACTTGAAGAACTGTCTAGCTGGCATCCCTACTTGATGTCTAACAGTTCATATCAAACCTAACATGTGCAAGACGAAACTCCTGATTTCCCCACTTCCTTGTATCTTCTTCATCTTAGACAATGGTACATGTTTACCCAATTGCTCAGACCAAAGACTCATTTTTCTCTCATATTCCACATCTAATACACCAGCAAATTATCCCTACCTTTAAAGGATACTCAGAATCCAAACACCTCTCAGCACCCTTGCTCCTCCCTCTCTTGTTCTCAAAGGTCACGTCCTCAGATATGCCATCCCTCATTCAATAGCACTTGTCCTGAACACGTCATCCTTCTATCCATTTGTCCTGCATTCTGTTTTTCTCCAAAGCTCTTATTCCTCTGTATTTATGTCTCGCCTGGGCACCCCAACCTCCATCCCAATGCAGAATGTAAGGTCTGTGAGGATAGGAACTTGCCTATCATGTTCATTGCTAGAATGACTGCCTGTCTGTGTATCCATGTGTATTCTTGCCTGGTAATGCCACAGATGTACGTGTACCATACATGTAACATTTATTTCCCTTTCTTACCTAAAGACAATAATTTCATCAGCCATTTCTTGGCGTCTCTTGTACTGCTGCAAACATATAGAGCAGTAATCTTGTTTGGGATTCAGTCCTCTGGTGACCGAAGCTCTCAGGTTACACAATGACCAATGGAGATCTTGGTTTAGAAGGCTAGTTGTTGTTTCCAGCAGGGTCTATGAAACAACAAAACAAAAAACAAACAAAAGGTTATAAAATGAAAGAGATAGAGGAGATGGATGGTGAATAGCACTTGTTTAGTTTTCAACTACCAACAACTAAAATTGGAACACATTATAAAGGGATAAAATTGTTGAAACAAAAAAAATCAAAACCTCACAAATTCAAGCGGTTAACCTCAATGTGCAGAGTAATGGTGAGTGTATACATTAGGAGACTCTCAAGTCTGTCATTAGTTTCTACTGAGAAATGTGAGCTCTGCCATTCTGCAGTTTAATTCAGTATTGATGGCTTTCAAATGACTAGATAAGCCCAAATCTATTTATTACATTTATATAATAACTGCTCTCTGAATGGCTCAGAGTGTTGTAATAAAGAATATAGCTAAGTCTGAATCCCAGGTTTTTTATTGAAACTGCATTCATGGTAATGTTTCAAATATCTTTTCACTAGTAAAGCTAATGGCCACTACTCCATTTTCAACTTCCTTGGGCAGAGAGATAACATTTTCCTGATCAGCACTTAGAAGTCATTTGCATCTACTCAAGACCATGACATCTATCATTAAGTCACATAAAGACATTTTAACAGCTATCACATTAAGTCATTTTAAGGCTCTATGTATTTATAAAGTATTGTTTTTGTACCATATCTCATTCTTAACATTGGTATATATCATCTGGCTATGTAGTTGGGTTCTTTTCTCTCAGTCCTGAAGGGGAAGATAGAGTTAGGTACTGCCTGCCCTCCTTGCTATACAGCTTAGCTCTTTAACTTCACCTGTAACGCAAAACTTTTCGTTCTAAGTCTCATTCTTTCCAATCAGTATCACGTTTTTCTCCTCTTTCATAGTTCCAAAATTGGTAAACATTTTCTGCCTTGCACTCAACTTTACTTCTGCTAACGTGGAATCTGTGCCTGTAGGAGTATCAAGCTTCACTGGGCTACACATAGCCAAACTGCAATTCTTACAACATTCTAAGAAAAGCTGTCACCCAGATTTTCCTTTTTCTTCTCACAGATTCTTAAAAAAAAAGCAGACGTTGTCTCCAACAGACCTAAATGGTACTTTTCCTAGGTGGCTTCAGGAGTCACTTTGCAGTACACTAAGAAAAAAGCCCGTACACCAGGCTGGCACTTACTGAGACTTAAAGCTAAAGACAATTTTGAGTTAAGGGAAGACTAATGACCATTTATGGTGATATGGTTTGGCTGTGTCCCCACCCAAATCTCATCTTGAATTCCCACGTGTGGTGGGAGGTAACTGAATCACGGGGGCAGGTCTTTCCTGTATTGTTCTCATGATAGCAAGTAAGTTTCACGAGAGCAGACAGTATTATAAGGGGGAGTTTCCCTGCACAAGCTCTCTTATCTGCCGCCACGTGAGACATGCCTTTCACCTTCTGCCATGATTGTGAGGCCTCCCCAGCCACATGGAACTGTAAGTCCAATAAACCTCTTTCTTTTGTAAACTGCCCAGCCTTGGGTATGTCTTTATCAGCAGCATAAAAACGGACTAATACAATGGTTAGTGACAACTATCTGTTTCAGAATGTTTAAAATAATACTCATTTAATTTTATTTTGCAATTTTCTATATTCATGTTGACCCTTCCTTTTCATGTGGTATAGCTTTGTACTAAATTATTTTTCCAGAAAGTTTCTCATACTTTCATTTTGAAAAAAAAGATACTTGTTTCATTGTGAATGAATTAAAATAAACTAAATTTGAATTAGACGCATTTCTACATTCTGAAATGTGTTTGTGTGTACACAAATCAAGGTCAAGAGAATTTTTTTTTTTTTTTTTTAGAGATAGGGTCTTGCTCTGTCACCTGGCGCAATCATAGCTCACTGCAGCCTCCAACTCCTGGGCTCAACTGATCGTCCTGAGTAGTTACAATTATAGGCACATGCCACCATGCCCAGCTAATCATTTTTATTTTTTGTAGAGACAGAGTCTTGCTATGTTGCCTGGGCTGGACTCGAACTCCTGGCCTTAGGCAATCCTCCTGTCTCAGTCTTCCAAAGTGCTGGCATTACAGGTATGAGCTACCATGCCTGGTGAGAGAAATTAAAAACTGAAATAAATATACACACATACACCTCAGTCTACCTAACTGCCAGTAAATAGATGGTAACTTTTTTTTTAAGTATAGGTACAAAAGAAAAGAAAATAGCATTTTTCTACCTTAGAACAGACTTAGATGTAACAAGTAGCTTACTTACTTGTTCATAGTTAAAGGTATCTAACATTCCCAGAATAAGTCCCTGGATTTCTCCAAGTTTTCCTTTTCCATAAACTGGATCCTAATTAGAAAAAAATATAATTCTGTTATAATTCTGTATTTTAAAATTACTTTAAAATGTTATCTGAAAAAGCCAAATGCTTTTAAGTATTTTTCTACAGTCACAAAATATTTATTCTTCCACAAATGTTCCACTGGAAATGTACCATAGTCTTCCTCTGATCATCTCAAATATTTTTGAAAAACAAAATTTAAATTATCCAATCCCCTTTCTTAACAATCCTTGCAAGTCTAATTAAACTTTACTTTTATTTTGTTTCTGCAAGAAGCTTTCTCTCCTTCATATAAAACAGCAACTCTCCCTCTTTGCACTCTTATTTATCTGTTACATTAAAACCAGTGTACTCAGGAATACCCAGAATCTGTCCAACAACTCCTCCTGTGATCCCATTTAGCCACCTCCTGCCCCTAACCAACTAAATCGCACCAGTTTTGGAGACAAACAGGTTCTGAGAAAACAGCTCTCAGTTTTTTTGAAGTTTTTTTCAGTAAAGTCACTACTGATAAACAACAGATACCTAGATATCCAATGTTTCCTCCACTGCATTTCATATGAGGTATGCCAAGTAACTTGTTTATTATGTACATTTTGGAAACACTGAAGTGTACAAAAAAACACACACACACACACACACACAAAACAAAAAACAAAAAAATGAAAAACAAAAAACCAAAAAACCAAAAACCACACCGAAAACTGAAATCCAACCAGAGATAAACAGTGTTGATATTCTGATGTATATTTCTCTAGTCTTGTTTCTGGGAGAGGTGAGAAAAGGAAGGGAAAGAGGGATATATTTTTTAGTGTATAAAATTGGAGGATTTTACAAAATATTTTTATATCTTTTTTTAACTCAACGGTGTATTGTGAGCACTTTTCCATACCATCAAATATTTCTTTTTTTTCTCTACTCTTGTGACACATTACAAATATTTCTTAATAGGTACAGAATATAAATTATGTGAAAATATCATGTTTTATTCATTTTCTGCTTTGAACATTTCACTTTTCCCCTTTCCCAAACTCCAGCCACTATTATCAAATGCTAGTGGCTGCAAATCTCAACTGGAATCTCTGATTCTTTAGAGATTTCTAGACAGAAAACTATAGACTCAAAGGGCATTTTCATGGCTATCAATATATATTGCCAAATTGCTCTACCAAAGTTTATTTTAGGATTTTTATCCCCATCAGCATATGTATGTGCTCACTTCACTGACATTTGGCTAGACTAATAATTTTAAAACTGTGAACACATGAGTCAAGTCTATTACTTTTCTCTAATATCAAGTTATATATGACATAAATGACTCTTTTCCATGCCAAATAGGAGAATCCAGCTACACAGTTGTGATAAAAGTAGTTGCTATTTTAAGTGAGTAGCATATGCCAAGTACAGTACTAAGCACTTTATGTTTACCACATTACTAAATTCCTTCAACAGGTTTTGTGAGTAAAGAAACTGAGGCTTAAAGAGGTTACAAAAACTTCTCTAAGTCACAAAACTATCAAGCAGATAAGATGGGATTTGAATCTAGGTACTTCAGAAATCATGCTTTTAATAACCACACTATACTGGTCTCCCAGGTATGGATACAAAAACTAATAAACTAAGTAATAAACTACTTCTTGCTTGAATATATGGGTTTCTAACACAGGTAACTAAATAATAAATTAATGATTGCTGGAAAACATGAGAAACATGTCTGGCTATTTCTTAGGGAGTCTTGGTACTGTTAAGAGTTAACTGTGAGTTCAGAAGGCAAAAAGGCCTATGGAAGCAGGAAAAACCTGTACAAGAATTGTCTCAGGATTTGCTTATTTTTCTCTTCTGGGTTCTAGTGATGGCTCTTGCAGAATAGGTCATGCAGTTCCTAACTAAGATTGGTTTTCAGTGCTTTGAGTCTGTCTAGAGCAGCATGAGATTGTCTGCCAGAGGTTTCTTTGGCCTCTTCAACTGCTAGGGTTATGCTGAAGAAATCCAAGGCACAAAATAACTATGTGTAGTAATTATCAAATTAACAAGTTTGGGCTTGAACAAATCACTTAAGCTTAATAGAAAAAATTTCTATTTCACAGCTAGGGATCATATCACTAAGCTAAAGATATCTCTCAAATATGTGGAAATCATTTACAAAAGGCAAGATACAGATATCTCAGACTAGTCCTTCAGAGAAAAACAACTCAAAGCCATATACCCACTGGACAATTTTTTCTTTTTATTTTCTTTGCATAAAAATAGACCCTTGTTAATGCTTAATTATACATTTGGTCAAGTTCTTAATAAGTACACATTTGCCAAATATCAACAGATGGTACAATATCTTATTAGAAAACTCTATTAAAATATTTACTATAATATGTGGATCCAGTATGACACTAGAGCTCTGGCATGTGTTTACAACAAAGGTGGTTTGGAGAACAAAGAGGTCTTAAAAGGTTAAATTCTGGGAAAAAGAAATCTTTATAGGTCATTTCTATATTTATGTCAGTACATTTCACTGTAATATACATAATTTAAAAGCAAAATCATGAAAACAATCTCATGCTGGGACAACATATAAATTATAGAATGCAAAAGGGAGCTCAAAGCTTCTAGCACAGCATGCACCAAACCACTAGCTCTTCAAATTATTTTCCAAAGATGTCAGCTAGATTCTCCAGCAATGAATAAATGCTGAGGTTTCTCTTAAGTTGTTTGCAAACTATGAAGGAAGAGCATACTTGGTTACCCATGTAAATGTGTTTTTCAAGACACACACTAGAAAAGATGTGATGACCACTTTTTTTTTCCTATTGCTTTCTGGTACCTACTGTATCATGTATGTGTATGTTTAAAATAAAAATCTTTATTAATTAAGCACTGCTTTAAAATATCAATGATGCCCTAAACAGGAGAGTCTATAATTTGTTTGCCTTTCCTCAGTGAGAAAGTAATAAACAGCTTCTCAGAAGCTAAAAATTACTTCTGCCATAGAGTGAAGATAGAATGTATACAACATAAACACAGTCTTTAAAATGTTATCACCTAATATTCATAAAAAAAGACGGTGTAATTTGGGTCCCAGGCATCAGTCTGAATAAACACGTGAAGATCAAGATCTGTAAGAACCTGTTATCATGTGACCACTTCTTTTGGAAAAACTAATTTTTTCAGTTGTATCTGAGCAATTGTGCATCTAAGTAACTGCTGTTCCCTACATTTTTCAGTGGGGATCTGATACAGTGAGGTGGGCATGAGAAACGCCTTGATTAGTGTTAGATACAGAAGAGAAGCCCTAAAACTTGAAGTTAGTAGACCTGGATTAATTCTAATGGCTCCCATTTCAAAACTGAATAAATTAAGACAAGTTATTTGATCTTTCTGAGTGGCACTTTTCTCATGAGAGATATGAGGTATTGCTACATCGCCAGCTTAATTTGCACAGTTGGAGATCAAAGAAGATAATGAACACTAAAGTGATTTGCAAACTGTTGAGAACTATACAAGGACATTAGGTGAGGGAGTCAACTAATATTTAACGGGCATATACTATGTTTTAGGCACGGCACTGGGTGTTGTAGATAACATAGTGAACAAGGGAGACATGATCTCTGCTTTTATAAAACTCACAGCCTAGAGGGTAAGCTAATATGAAGGTAGGGCTCAAAAAGAGTTTATATTTACAGGTGTGACTGGGGCTGCGGTAAGGGTGAAAAGGCAAGGAAGAAAAAACTTAGCTCCTAAAATATTCTAGGAGACAGAGTAGAGAGGATTTGACGTGCATTAAATACCGGGACTGCTGAGGAAAATAATGAGGAATTCTAACACACAGTTAAGGAAGAAATTATACAAACTGTCTACAATCTATTTCAGAAAACAGAAGCAGGTGGAACATTTCTTTTCTTTTTTTTTTTTTTTTTTTGTAGACAGAGTCTCGTTCTGTCGCCCAGGCTGGAGTGCAGTGGCACAGTCTCGGCTCACTGCAAGCTCTGCCTCCTGGGTTCATGCCATTCTCCTGCCTCAGCCTCCTGAGCAGCTGGGACTACAGGCGTCTGCCACCACGCCCGGCTTATTTTTTTTGTATTTTTAGTAGAGATGGGTTTTCGTCGTGTTAGTCAGGATGGTCTGGATCTCCTGACCTCATGATCCGCACGCCTCGGCCTCCCAAAGTGCTGGGATTACAGGCGTGAGCCACCGCGCCCGGCTAAGGGAACATTTCTTAACTCATTCTCTGAGGCCAGCATCACCCTCATACCAAAACCAGCCACAGACATTACAAGAGAGGAAACTATATGAACAGATGCAAAAATTCTCAACAAAATATTAGCAAATTGAATCCAGTAATGTATAAAAAGAATTATACATAACAACCAAGTGGGATTTATCCCAGGTATGCAAGGCTGGTTCAACATTTAAAAATCAATTAATCGGCTGGGTGCAGTGGTTCATGCCTGTAATCCCAGTACTTACGGAGGCAGAGGCGAGAGGATGGCTTGAGCCCAGGGTGAGACCCGCTTGGGCAACACAGCGACACCCTGTTCTCCACAAAAAAAGAAAAAAAAAAAAGACAAGAAAAATAAATTACTGTAATCCATCACATCAACAGGCTAAATAAGAAAAATCACATGATCATATTAGTAGATGCAGGAATTTGTAATTGATAAAATCTAACGCCCACTCATGACAGACAAACTGTGAGCAAACAAGAAAGGGAGGGACACTTCCTAAACTTGATAAACAACATTTATAAGAACCTTACAGCTAACATCATACTTAATGGTGAGAAACCAGATGTCTTTCTTCTAAGACAGAAAATAAGGAAAAGATATCCCCTCTCACCACTCCTATTCAACATTGTACTGGAAGTTCTAGTTACAGCAATAAGACAAGAAAAGGAAATAAAATATATACAGATTGGGAAGGAAGAAATAAAACTGTCTTTGTTTGCAGATGACATGATTGTCTAAAATAACCTGAAACAATTAAGTGATTGTAGCAAAGTTACAGGATACAAGGT